TCTCTCTCTCTCTCTCTCTCTCTCTCTCTCTCACTCTCTCTCGCTCTCTCTCTCCCTCTCTCGCTCCCTCCCTCCCTTTCTCTCACTCTCTCCCTCTCTCTCTCTCCCTTTCCTCCTTTCCAACACTCTCTAAAAATCAATCGGAAAAATATTCCCTAGAGAGGATTAACAAACAAAACCATAAAAATTAAATAAAATTACCAAATGGTCGAGCAGTGCCTCCTCTGGGTATATACACACAGAAATGGAAAGCGGGGTCTTGAAGAGATATTTGGGCACCTGTGTTCACAACATGTCAGATGGAAGCAGCCACTGAGGAATGTGCCTGGAGAGATGAATGGATAAGAAGCAAAATGGCGCCTAGACATGTACCATGGTATAGTGTTCACCTTTAAAAAAGGAAGGCAGTTCTGACACATGCTCCAACAGGGATGATGACCTTTGAGGATCTGATGCCTCATGAAATCAGCCATGCCCAAAGAGGTAAGTTCTGCAGAATTCCACTTGAATGAGGTGGTCAAATCCACAGAGACAGAAAGTGGAATATTCGTGGCCAGGGACTTGGGGGAGAAGGAAGGGAGAGTTATCGCATTTCATAGGTTCAGAGGTTCCGTTTAGCAAGATGAAAAAATTGGGAGGGAGCCTTATGGAGGGATGCCCCCCAGAGAAAAGAAAAGGCGGAGGACAATGAGCCACTGCGTCTGACCCCTCTGTCCCCTGGGCAGGAGACATAGAGGACCTCTCATCTCACCAAGCAAGGCCAAGGCCAGGAGACGAAGTCACACACTCGGGGTCCTGGCAGACAAGTGCCGGGACCCATATGGAATCAGAGTTGTGCTCCACCCTGGGGTGGGGGGGCAGGGAGGGGAAAGGGACAAGAGCAGGGAGAGTGAGATGTGTGTGACCCCTCCCACAAGGTCACAGGGCCTGATCCCTGTCTTGCCCCTGACTTGGGCTGTGCCCTCTTGACCTGTCAGAGCCTTGGCTTCCTCCCCTTGGCCCAGAGACAGGCATGGTTGTCAGGTGACTCTGGGCACTCAGCGGAGGATGGGGCTCACCGTCTGGACTCAGAGCTCCCTCCTGGTGATTCGGTCCCGAGGGAGCTCCGGGATTCTAGAAGCCAGTCAGAGAATATGGGATTAAGTAAGGTGGGATTAAGTCAGGGCACCTGACTCCTGGTACCCTGAGGTCATTAAGATTCATTGGCTGAGCGAGTTAATCTGTTTGGAGGCGGGGCTTTCCGCCTATATAAGGGCTGAGGGCACCCAGCCTAAGCCATTAGACACCAGAGCCCTGGAGAGAAGAACCATGTCGGCACCCGGGAGAAGTGAAGCAGCGCGAGCTCCAGCTCTCCTGAGAGTCACGGCACCGAGCTGGTTTCCTCCTGGCCATCTGCAAGCTCAGGAGGCCGAGCTGGGTGCCTCCTGCCCTGCCCCAACCCTGGTGCACCGGCCTTCCTGCCAGTGGCCCTGCCATCAACCTATTGGCCCTGGCGGCCTGCTCCTAGTGCCCCCCATATACACCTGGAGCCCCATATATCTCATCATCCAGCCAGAGTCCGTGAGGAGAGGCCTGGCCCCCCGCACCCGGCTACCCACCACCCAGGAACTGTGTGACCTGCTGCAGGGAGCAGACAAGCCTCCCATGGAGTCAGCCAGCCTGCCCCAGGCTGCCCAGGATCCGGCCCCGAAGTCCCCTTCCATCCACCTCTCAGCTGCCAGAGACAAGAGGAGGATTGCCTGCGACACCATGCCCTGCCTGGCTGCAGGTGCCAAGAGGCGCTTCCTGGCCAGCAGCAGCCCTCCTCCCAAGGCCCAGGGGTTGGGCAGCCAGCTCCCAGAGGCCCGCGCCCCATCAGGACAGGCGTCCCTGGCCACCAGCACTGTGCCTCCCAAACTCGTAACCCACAGCCCACCTGAGCAGAGTTCTCAGAAGCCCATTCCTCCAAAAGAGCCAGCTTCTCACTCCAGTGCCCGAACAGCCCCCCTGAAGAGGATCCTTTGCAAGGGGCCGGCCTGTACCAGCGCCTCAAGGAGCACCTGCTAACCCAGGCCCAGCTCAAGGAGAATGGCTACCCCTTTGCGCACCCCAAGCGGCCCGGGGGCGCTGTCCTCTTCACCACCCAAGAGAAGCCGCCCCAAGATGCCTCTTGCAGGCTGTGCTGCCGCTGTGGCAACCAGTACCTCGTGGCCCGAAGGGGCCACTGTGTGCACCAGGAAGAATGTCACTACCACTGGGGGCGGCGGCGCCCCACTCCAGTGGCTGGGGGCTGGGAGATTCAGTACACGTGCTGCTCGGCCCCCATCGGCTCCCCTGGCTGCCAGGTGGCCCAGCAGCACGTGCAGGACGGCCGCCAGCAGGACCTGCAGGGCTTCGTGCAGACCTTGGACAAAGAGCTGCCCCCAGGGGCTCACCCCGGCATCTACGCCCTGGACTGTGAGATGTGCTACACCACCTCTGGCCTGGAGCTGACCCGCGTCAGCGTGGTGGACAGCGCCCTGCAGCTGGTGTACGACGCCTTCGTCAGGCCGGACCGCGACATCGTCGACTACAACACCAGGTTTTCCGGAGTCACTGCAGCTGACCTGGCCCACACCAGCACCTCGATCCGGGACGTTCAGGCCGCCTTGCTGACGCTCTTCAATGCCCACACCATCCTCATCGGACACAGCCTGCAGAGCGACCTGCTGGCCTTGAAGCTCATCCATGGCACCGTGCTGGACACATCTGTGCTCTTCCCGCACCGCCGCGGCCTCCCCTGAAAGCGCTCCCTTCGCAACCTCACGGCTCACTACCTCGGACACGTCATCCAGGACCGGATGGATGGCCACAGCTCCAGCGAGGACGCCAGCGCCTGCATGCGCCTGGTCATCTGGAAGATGGGACAAGACGCCAAGACTGAGCACTGACCGCAGCCCAGCATTTTGTGGACAGGACTATGACTTTGGAAAAGGCTTTGTGATCACATATATCTCTTGCCCCACATGTCTAACAATAAAGGAATGGTTCAGTAAACTATAAAAAAAATACTCTACTTCTGGATTCTAGGCATTGTGTAGAAACTGCTCAATTTGTTGATAGATAATTCTTTAAGTTGAGCTGAAAATGTGAAATGACAGACTTGTGACTCAGCTTGACGTGATGGGGAGTAACAAAGTGCTATCTTTTTCTACCATCAATTACCATGAAGCAAATGAACAGTGTCAGGAGGAAACAAGTGAAATATTCTTGATTATTTTTAAAATTAATTTTCAATGTTTTCTTCACTTGGAAAGGGCAAGAAGAGGATGAGTAAGAATTTCCTCTATTCTAATTTAAGGAACACTTCCAATGCCTTTATTTCAGCATAAGTATAAACATTAATTGCAAGACACAATACGCTAGATTGTGCTATTTCAACTTGGGTTATACTGATAACTACATGGTTCAGAGCTAGAGTTGGTCAAAGGAGAAACGTGTGTGAGGTTTGGAAGATGGAAGCAAAGCAAACCATGAAGGTTTTGTGGTCATATATGGTGATGGGCAGTAGTACAAGTGTCTGGTGGGCTCCTGCTAGCCCTCACTCTCCTCTGCTCTGCTTCTGGACCCACAGTGGCACCAAACGCTCCACAGTACTTGGCCATAGCCCCACAGAGCTGCACAGAGGCACAGCCCTTTTAGATCTTTCCATGTGCTTCTCCTTAAGGCCCTCATCTGCCAGCTAGACATGCTTGGCTTCTCAGATTTCCCTGAAAGGTCTGGCATGTCATGTATGTCAGTGCTTAAGTTTGATTGGTTGGTGATGCTTTCTTTGATCCTTTGACTCTTTTTTCTAGGCCTCTCCCAGCTTCTCCCATACTAGTGTATGGTCTCATCCTACAATAAACCCCTTTTTCTTGTCATAATCGTCCCAGCTCTGCTTTCTTACCTGAACCCTGACTGCTACATACAGGAAATGAATCATTAGTTATATCCTTCCTGAAATACCTTACCATTTCTAGGCTCTGTGTTGTGAGAGACAGATGAGAAACTTGAGGGTAACAACAAGATGACGAGGCTTCCTATGGGCTTCAGCGGAGGCAGGGAAGAGTGAGTGGCTGAGCTCTCATTAGAGATGTCCGTTAGACTTCCAAAGGATCACTCTGCGGGTGTTCAGAAAGTGTTGTTCTCAGCTTGAGACCCTGCTTCACGCCAAAAGGAGGAAAAAATTGCCCTGAGATTCCTTTCTTGTACTGATGTCATACCACAGGCACATAAAACTCAAGAAATGCCACACTCAGTCCGTCAGTGACTCCAGCCCATCGTCTTCTCCTCCCCGGGGCCCCAGGAGATGTTTGTGGGAGGGCACAGCTGCACTCCAGTATATCACCTTCAGGTGAGTGGTGCCCTCCAGCAGCCTTTCCAGCCCATTAACCTCCTATTTAAGTCCATTCCGTGTTATTTCACTGCAGTTTGTTTGGAGGGCAACCTTCTTTCCCTATAGAATGCTACCTGTCAAAATCAAAGTTTGAAATTAGATGTTTTTTTATATGACTTTGCTGGGCTAACTACCTGGGTTAAACTTGGCTGTTGATCTCTCCCAAACAATGTTATTTTTCTTTTATGTGAGACCTACTGATTTACCCAATTCTATTTTTTCTTATTTCAACAAATTTTAAGTGTATGATTTTGTGGCATTGATTACATTCACAATGTTGTGCAACCAACACCACTATCTATTTCCAAAACTTTTTCATCACCCAAACAAAAACTCTGTAACCATTAAGCAATATTTCCCATTCCTCCCTCTCCCCAGTCTCTGGGTAACCTCAAATTTACTTTCTATCCCTATAAATTTGCTTATTCTATGTATTTTATAAAGTGGAATAATGCAATATTTGTCCTTTTGTGTTTGGCTTATTTTGCTTATCATGATTTTTTGGTTTACTTAATTCTCACTATCCAGACTCTGCCTGTTCAATTGAATACAAGATTCCCCTTTTGCCCTGTTTTGGGAATCTCCTTATGACTTCATTGTACCTTGGTTTCTTAACTGTCATACTAGAAAGAGGAAACAGACCCAAATATTCAAATTTGATGTTTAAAAAACATAAAAATATTAAGAAATAAATTCAAAACAACATGAAGACATTCTTTTGCAAGTTTCAGTAACCTTAAAAACAACTATCACTCAGGTGAAATATCAATGAAATATTTCTTTCTATCTCTGTGTGAGACCGTTGAGGTCATAAAGCTACTGAGGAAAATGCTATTTCAAGCTGCCAAGTCCCTACTGTCTCATAATGGTCTACAAGTATTTAAACACAATCCAGTCCTTCAATATAGGAGAGGGATAACATGTCCATGAATCTTTAATGCATGAATAATCCTTTTTGACATTTCCCTTCAGTGCCGAGGAAGATGGCTGGATTTGCTTGTGGCTGCATTGATAATAACTTATCTCTTCCTTTTTCATTCCTAAAGGGAAATGTCATAACGAGAACCCACTACTAAATAAAACATGTACATCACAGTTTTTTTTTATTTCTGAAAAACAAAAGAGGCTGACCTCCAAGTCAGATTGAATTTATACTGAACTCAGAGAAAGTGAGGCTTAAATATAGAATCTTGTTTATGTGTTTTAGCATTTGCTATTTTTCCAGTGGCAAAAAAAAAAGCTATTCAGAGTATAAAGCAATAGGAAAGTAGCTACTGCCCACCTATGTTAAGTAAATTGTAAAATTATCTAATTGTAGCGATACAAACACTGTAACATGTATAGGCTATAATTAAGTTCATTTAATCACTTATTCATCCATCCATTTAATAAATGTTACTGAGCGTCTATTGTCTATTTTGTGCATGTGCTGTGATAGGCATTGTCTGCCCTGTCCAATATGGTAGCCACTAGTCACATTGAACTTTGTGATGTAAATGCAATAAATTCAATAAAATAAAAAAATTCAGCTCATTTATTGTACTAGCCATATTTCAAGTATTCAATACTCACATGTAGCTCATGGCTACCATATTGAACAGCACAGAAGATAGACCATTTCCATGCTGCAGAAAGTTCTATTGGGCAGCACTTGGATAGAGTATAAAAAAAGTATAATAGCTCAGCCGGTGTTGCTCAGTGATTGAGCATTGACCCATAAACCAGGAGGTCATGGTTCGATTCCCAGTCAGGGCACATGCCCAGTTGAGGTCTCAATCCCCAGTGTGGGGCCTGCAGGAGGCAGCCAATCGATGGTTCTCACTCATCATTGATGTTTCTGTCCCTCTCTTCCTCTCCCATCCTCTCTCTGAAATCAATAAAAATATTTTTAAGTATAATGAAGGTCTTTTATTAAAAGAGTTTGCAATTTAGTTGAGGAGATGCAAATATAAAGAAATGTCATTCTTGTTTCATCCTACAACATAGGATAGCAATAAAGTAGTAGGAGCTGCCCTTTTGGGGGCATGGACTATGTGTCAGTGATTGCTAAATGCTTCATACATGTGGCAGAGCAAAAGTAACTCATGAGAGTCTGGCCTTTTCCCTTTGCTTGTTGGCCCTCCTCCCTTTCTCACCCTCCTACTATGAGTGGGAGAGTATTGGCCTTCACCAGATCTCGCACATTTAGAAGTGGGGAGACAGACACAGGACTGGAGGGGAGAGAAGAGAGGGTGGGAGTGATTATGAAGGCCATAATTAACATTGGAATGGGTAGACAAGTAAACCAGATCCTCTCCTAGTGAGGAATACCTTATCTAATCCTTTGGAGGCCTGAATAAAAAAAAAAAAAAGAGCACACAGAAGGGAGAATTCACGCTTTCTCAGCCTGCCTGTTTTTAAGCTGAGACATCGGTGTTTCCTGCTTCCAGACTTGAACTTGGACTATAACTATACGATCAGTTTTCCTGGGCCTGTAGCTTGTTGACTATGGCTCTTGCAAAATCCTTGTGGTCTAGAACTGGGAGAGGAGTTTCTTGAAAGTCATGAAAAGAAAGGTTCTGAGCAGCTGTGAGGTATAAAGAAAACGTATGGGAAAAGCAAGGGGACCGCAACAGGTTTGTTGTGGACTATATATGTTCCTTCCAGGTATAGAGACATGTGAGTAAAAAATGTTGAGTTATTTTGAAATTAATAGTTTTCTAATTGGACTGTGTTCTTTGATCATCACACCTTAGAGAGGACCATGTGAGTCACATATGTCATAGGTTATACTATCATCATTCTCATTAATTTAACCTTCACTACTACTCTGCAAGGTAGGCTATGTGATTTTTTTTTTCTAATGTTCAGCCTAAAATTCAGAGAAGTTAAACTAATAAATGGCAATGTCTTATATATAACTCTTATATCCATGCTTTTAGTTTATCTGATTTACTGCCCCAATACCAGGAGGATCAGGTAGTATGTGACAAAGTGCCAAGAAAGCCATATGGACATTAATAATGGCAATGAAGTCCAAAGAAACTAGAGTAATGGTGAACTGGAGTGACTAGCACATGCTTCACGAAGAGTGCGAAGTGTAAGCGGCCTAGGAGGACTGGGGAAACCTAGATGGGAAGTGGGGAGAGGTAGATGACGGAATACACAGGGCATGGACAAGAACCAGGGGTTTTGGCTGCAGCAGAGGGTGTGGTCTTTGATCATGACATTCTAGAAGCTGGATCAGATTAGGGGTAAAAGATGAAATAAGTAAATAAGTAAACAAATGAATACTGTTTGCTAAAACTGCTATTTAAATCTGATATTTAAGATGATATTTAAATTTCAGCTTAGTTGCAAATTGCTCTGCTCCCCTTAGCAGCCCTTTTTCAGGGGATAATAAATAGTGGAGTTGTCTCCAAATAGTCTAGGACAGTGGTTCTCAACCTTTTGGCCCTTTAAATATAGTTCCTCATGTTGTGATCCAACCATAAAATTATTTTTGTTGCTACTTCATAACTGTAATGTTGCTAC